CCCCCCCCCCCCCCCAATATTTTAAAGATTTTAACGACATTACTCAAAAGCATTCTTTTGCATGCATTTTTATTTGGGCTTTGAGTTTAAAGGGTTTAAAGTAGTCTTTAGTAACAATTCAGAAAGCCATTTTGTTTACAGTTTGAAATGTTGGACCTTTTAATTTTAAGCCTTGTTCCCCTTCTTTTAATTAATTAAGTTAATTAGCGAAACTTTGCTTGTAGCGAGGTGGGTTTAAATCTTCAAGTTAAGCTCCTCGATTTAAGCCCTGTCTGTGCTCAAACCACACCCATTTTCGTCTAAGGCTTAATTAAATACTGACATTGAAAATTTCGATGCATCAGGCCTTTCAACATTTACAGGAATTCTCAGAGCAACCAAGCTTTGTTTTCCGGGATGGGAAAATGTTTAAAGTGACAAAGGATAGGTTAATCGACATAGGGGATTTTCAACTCAAGATACTTGAGATGGTTAAAGAGGTGAATAGGTTTAATGAAACTGACAAAGAAGGTCATTGGTTGTGTGCATGTCCAAGCGACCATGGAGGTAAAATGGTGACAAGGTAAAAACGGTGTTTTTTTAATTAGTCAATGAGTCTACAGTTACGCCAATTATTATATTACCGAACACATATGACATGTTATCAACACGAAAGTCATGTATTTCTCTTGTATAGGAACAAGATAATACCAGCAGGATGCTTTGATACCAAGCAGCATTTCTTGGACATGCTAAGGAAATGATTCGGTGGCAGATTTTTCAATCTAGGAAAAAGTGTTGTGCAGTCCAACATTTCAGAATATTGTGTATTTTTGAAAGATGACTTTAAGCAACATGGTCATGGTAATAATAGAAGTGTAGCCGATAAACTCTTTTTCACCAGGCACATTGGTTTCCAGTCTGATGGCTACTGGGTGTTATCAAAGGAAGTGAGTAATAGGTCAAGGGGAATAAGCACAATGTTTGAGGAATATGGCACAGCTCATGACTGTAGAGTAAACCTCTTAATAGGTGGAGCGTGCCTATATTAAATGGAATGGGCGAAAGCTTGAAGTTTAAGGTGTAAGACATGACACTCGCCAAAGTATAGGCTGGCTCCAGCTTATATACACCCACCAAGGTATAGGCTAGCTCCAGCACAAATGTTCTATCCTGTAACACAATTATTTCATCACTGCAATATTATAATTATGCAATAATTTAGTAATTGTGGTGTGTTCAACATTATGGAGACATTCATATATAATGGTAATGCAAATGCAGAAAAGATTAAATAGTACATTCAACCAATTACTTGTTAAACTAAAAGATTAGTTACATGTTGATTATTAAAACATTCAAGCAAATATAAAAAGTCACTTGTAGACATTTGTTCAGTGTTCTTATATACATATCTTTTATTGGAAATTGCAAGCATCATCAAAAGTTATCAAATTACCTCCATTTTTTTTCCCTTTATCATCTTCAATCATCTTCAATATATTAAATCACAAATCTTGCCAATCAATTGTATATTATATATTGTGCAAAAATGTTATCATTTCTCTAATATTCCTAAAATATCTGGCCAAGTCAAAGGGGTTTAGAATTTTGCACTCCGCTTTACTCCTTAGTATCAATTAGTTAAATTGATTGGTTTTTAAAATTATATAACTTCTGGAACTACCAATTATTAAGATAGCCTGCAATATACATCGTACCCCCCATGCACACACTTTTCTTTCCGGATTAGTAGCCTTTCACCGTGACCCCATTTCCCCCCTTGTCTATGCCACTACTAGCCTATCTTATATGACAAATGTCAATGTCTAAATATACAATGTATTTTCTATCACAGTCATATAGATGAAGCAAATATTTGTATGCTCTATGCAGCAGCAAAAAACGTTGGTAAGTCGACGCTTCATATCATATCGAAATGCCAAGGTGTTTGTGGCTTTGGACATCCACTTCTACTTTCAGGAGGAGATCAGATGCTGTGTAGGACTTCTTTGTATTTTAATTACCATATATAATGTAGTACAAAAATTGGGAGAATGTAGCTATATTACAAGTATTTGTCCACATGGACAAATTAGTGATATAATAATGGAAGGCCTTCTGAGAAGGGGTACTTTGCTTATATATATTTGTATATGACTATGTTTTGCATTGGTTCACAAAATGCTGAAGTCCAAAGACTCTTCGATATCATATAGATAGAGCAAATGGTATAAGTTTCGATATTTCAAAAGGTTGTCACTACATTTGTATCCGAGAGGAATCATGAGTGTCACAACCTTTTCAGGTATATCGAAAACTATATATTATATGTATTTATTATATAAAGTATAGTGCTTTATGTACTATTTAAAAAACGAGCAGGAGTGTTTTATTAGGTTTAAAGCCACAAGTGCGCAGCGCGAGTGGCTTTAGACCTAATAAAACACTACCATGGCTTCAAAAACATTTGCATAATAAGTCAAATCTTTATATAAAAATCTTTATATAAAATCTTTATATAAAAATCCTTATATAATTTGCATAACAATGGTCTTTTGTTAAAGTGTTCTTTAGCTTGTATAAAGACGTATCCACGTTTTTCAAAGACCGTCCTTTACATAATGAATAGAAAAATGCATGGATGCTTGGAAATACCAGATTTATTTTCCATGTTGAACATGATATCTCACTTGTTTGCTGCACTCACTTGTGAGATATGTTCAACACTCGAAATAAATCTGGTATTTCCACGCACCCATGTATTATTCTCTATATAGTAAAATCTGCAGACATGAATGTTTCGGCTTTCAACGCCTCATCAGCGAAGCTTGATATACATGCACATCTATAAGTAAGTGACACATTCCTATTTATACATGCGAGTGTTCGCTCACCAAGCACATAATGTGAGATGCTTTTTTGTTTAATCACTTTTATTAGTGATCCCATCCTGAAAATTGTCGTATTCATTGCTTCTGATGGTTTGATATTCAGTCTCAAGATAAATGTTACTCAGTTATTTTACGAAAGTTATGCTAGAAAGTGTCTCAAGTACATCATTGGTGGTTCTTGTTGATGATCCAAAAATCAACAACCAGTTAGCAGAGTTTATGCTTCAAGTACAAGAAGGTTTGACACAAGGATCATCGCAAAGAGAAGTGAATACACCCAAAGGAACTTTGGTTTTAATATCCAATGAAAAAGAGGTTAGAAGGTATAATATTTGATGATCAGTAGCACCATTCGTTCCTATTGTTTGCTTTCTTATACTAGATATTGTATATGATTCCTTTGCATGTGCCATACTATCGTACAGTAAGGACAGGCAAAATCTACAGAAAAAGATTTATAAATGCTTTTAAGTCATAGAAAGTCAAAATTGATATGAACTATATCGCATATTTTTAGCAATTTAGTTCCTATATACCATGCAAGAAAAATTTAGCACAGGACAAAAAGCCACATTTTATCGCATTATCACATTTATATCTCATAAAGGTATATTTAAACCGTTAATACCAGTGATTAAAAGGGTTTATATGGAACTGTAAAGGTTGTTATAGGTCGAGATATCTTTAAACACATTTAAAAAATAGCTTAAAGTTAAACATACCAACACCTTTAATATTTATGTTTGTGATGTTACTCTGAGTGCATGTCCACACCGGGCGAGCTTGAAAAATATGCCCGGCCACAGTGGGATTCGAACCTACGACCTTTGGAATACTAGCCCAATGCTCTTCCAACTGAGTTACATGGTCAGGACTGTTCGAGTAAGTGATATTTCGGAACAGTATCTAGTTCCTTCAATACCAATGTGTTCTTGTAATATGAATTTTTTGTGCTGGTGTTGTGTACTCAGGTGAATAATATGTTTGTGATGTTACTCTGAGTTACTTACTCGAACCGTCCTGACCGTGTAGCTCAGTTGGAAGAGCATTGGGCTAGCATTCCAAAGGTCGTATGTTCGAATCCCACCGTGGCCGGGCATATTTTTCAAGCTCGCCCGGTGTGGATATGCACTCAGAGTAACATCACAAACATATTATTCACCTGAGTACACAACACCAGCACAAAAAAAAACCTTTAATCTTTGTTTACCACAGGTATTAAAGGTGACTAAAGGCAAAGCACTATATGATCCTATATATCTTTTGAACTTTGTACGACATCTTATCATTGTATTAAATTACATCGTATTAAATTACAAAAGCTCATCGTATTAAATTACAAAAGCTTCCATTATTACATTTTATTCTTTAACTCAATAAGCAGCAAGCTGTTACAATGTTTCTACCCGCCTAAGGCGCAAGCAATATGGCGAATTTGTGATTGAATTCAAGAGCTTTCACCAAAATGGCAATATCTCAGAAACAGTTGCATAAAAAAATCTGATCTTTTCAACCAAACATTAGTGATATATGATTGACCAAATTTAGTTTAAATGACTTTGCATACCTACATATATCATTAGTTTTTTCAATGAGAATTTTTATTTGTAAAGCAGTGACTCTTTGTTTTTCATGTCACTCATCACCTAAAGGGACAATATCTCCATAAATTTATATAAAAACAAAAAAAAAAATCATTTACTAAATTAGTACATATCTATATTATAACCAATTTTCATCTTTTGGGATATGAATTAGAAAACGATCAAAAATTATAAAAAATACTCATTTGCTTTTTTTGGGCAAGATATTTACAACATGAAATTTAGAACAGTAACTAAGTGTTCAAATTCAACAAAATGTGCAAGCCAACACACAGTGCTTGTTCATCTTTGGAGTTTTTAATTACCTCAAATATATTTAAAAGGACATATGGTACTAGAATTTATTTATTTTCAATATAAACCAAGGATGGGAAGGTGAGAAAATAGGAATTTTCTGAGGTGTTTTTAACACAGTCAATGACAGCCGACATTTTCAAAGGCAAATTGCGAATGTGACAAAACCAAAAGTTATTCGCTTCTCTACTCAAAGCACTGAAAAAAACCATAAAGAGAAAAATATTTTAAACATACATCAGGTAAGCCTTTTAGCTCAATTTTCTCATGTTTCTGTTTGAAAAGAAACGGTTTTTAGCAAAAATTATTTTGCGCGCCAATGTAGGCAGGCTGCTAAAATGTCAGACACGCGTTTTCTTTTGAAGTCTGGCTCTAAAAAACAATCGCTTTTTTAGTTTGAAATAAGCTTTCATGAGGACTAATTGTGTAGAAATGTTATCTGTATGCTTAAATGAAAAAGATAACCTAATATTCAGGTATTCAACATAGCTATAAAAGGGTGAAATAAGGACTTTCATCTTTGGTTGTTTGTCAGACATGAGAAACCACATTAGTGCCATTTTGTCGCGCGTGCTATTTTATAAAATAAACACCTCAAAACCATAAACTTTTAGTTCAGAAAATAACAAAGTTTCCCATAGACATTATTAAAATGTTCTAGTGAAGCGATTTCATGATAAATAAGTGAGCTATGGGCCCAAAAGAACTGCTAAACTATGTTTTTGTTAGGACTTCAATTTCATGGCTTCCCGCAAAGGAAGCCATTTCAGAGAGAAGCGGCATTTTGCAAGCAACGTCGCGACCTATTTTTGATAACTTTTCCTTCTGATTCAACGTGTAGTTACTAGAAAATGAGGTTGCATCAACATTATTATCTGCTTTATCGATTTAAAGTGTTATGGGGATATAAAACCCAATAGAAAAAGCGTTTTAAAAGCTTTAGAACTCAAGTGCAGATTTTTTGAAAATTCGCACGTGGCAAGCAAGCGCACTAATTCAATACACTTATTTTAAACCACAATATGTCTGAAACGAGTTGTCATTTTAAGACTAAATTGATGAAAATAGATATAACAGTGATTTTGGAGTACCCTACTTACTTAGTGTAATTTAATACTCGAAGTATTCTTGCCAAATAGGGCACGTACGCACACAGTAATTTAATCTGGTGTCGTTTGAAACATACTTTAGCTAAAATAACAACTTGAACAAGAAGACCACCAATGGGGTTACGAAAACAGTCGAAATTGTGCCCAAATTTGCATAAACAGTTCGTCTAAAAAGATAACTTTAAACTAGATTCAACCAACTTTAATGCAGTCAAAGTTTGTGAGTGTTTGATCGCATATTTCTACTCAAAAATACCCTTAAAAATATCGTATCTGCTCACTTGAGTTCCGTTGTTCATCTTTCTTGTGATTTCCGACTTCTATTTTTAATAAAGTTTGGAGAAATCCTCATCTTTGTGGCTGAAAA